TGGTTCAGTAGTTTGTATTTTTAGATCGTTTATTGACGATTTGAAGAAGAAATTTTTCAGAACAAATTAGCTTAATTAATTTGTTGTGAAGTTTGACAAAGTCTATTACACCTCGGACAAATACTGTTGATAGAAGTTTGGTGGTTTCAGCATTTGATGAATCATAAGTGATTTCTGTTATGTTTTCTTGGGAGGGAGTATTGTGAAGTATTTTCGTTATTTTCATTCTCTGTAGCGAGCGGCGAATATTTGTTAGCTGTTATAAAAATACTAGACTATAATGACCGCCGGCTGTCTGATAGCCAAAATGGTCGTGCGAGTAAGATAATTGGTAATTATAAATGTTAAGATTTTTGAAATTAGCGACAAAGATTAGCTTTTTCGATGCGTTTAAAAACAGTTAAATGTAGAGATTTTCATTACGCATTCAATGCTGTAAAATTAAAAATTTTTATTTCATTTTGGAAGTAACACGGATTTATGCGGAACGATGTACATACACGTGTGTAGTGAAAGGTGTACGCGGCGCGACTTGGTAGTTGGTACTTACTTAATTATTAAATTTTGTAATGTTTCAGAGAAAAATATTTACTAGTAACAGACAAATCTACTGAAAAAGACAAAGAAACTGTAATTACAATGGTTCAACATGAATTGTCACATCAGTGGTTTGGTGATCTCGTAACATGTTCTTCGTGGAATTATGTTTGGTTAAATGAAGCTTTTGCCACATTATTCGAATATTTTGCAGTTCATGCGGTTAGATATTAAAAATACATTTAATTTTTAATTGATGAATTAATGTTAGTTGAACAATGGTTCGATGGGTTTTACAGGCAGAACCTGACTGGCGTATTGGAGATCTATTTGTCATTGAACAGCTTCAAGCAGCATTAGCCTACGATCATAGACCACGTCATCCAATTACAGCAAATGTTAATGATCCAAATGAAATTGAAGATATTTTTGATGCAATTACTTACAACAAAGGCGCTTCAGTGCTAAGAATGTTAAATCATGCATTAAATGATGATATATTTAGAAAATCTTTAACATTATATTTGAATACTTACAAGTAAGTTTTTATAACCTAAGATAGTGAGAATGTGAGATATAATAGCAATTAGTTATTACTTGTTCACAGTAAGTATTTATTAGAGAAAGAGATTCATTAAGATAATTAAAATTTTAATTTTTAAATATCAAAGAATACCCAGATATGATATATAATAATATAATAAGAATAAAATAAAATATATTTATTTATGCCTTAATTTAATCTATTTGTTATCTTGTACCTATAATTGTTGCTTTATTAGTAACCTATCTGTTATTTAAAGCTATTAATATATATATTATATTATAAATTGTATATAATACAATATTAATAAAATCAAATTGTAGGAAAACTTTTACACACCTTCCTATTATAAATTTCTATTAAGCTAATTCTGTTAATCTAACTTAATTACCTTCTTAAAAGCTTAAAAGTAGTTCATTCAAGTAAAAAATGTTGACTTATAATGGTACCTATCCAGTGGTGGATTAATGCATAGGCCAAGTAGGCCACGGCCTAGGCCCAAGTAGGGGCACCCTAATTTTAAATCATATAAAATAAATCATATAAAAATACGAAGATGACGTTCCTTAGTAATAATTCTGAAATAATAATTTTTTTTTTTGTTTTGGTTATATTGACACAATTTTATTATTTTTATTATCAATTTTATATTTGTGCCATAAAGTACCTAATTCTTCTATGCAATAGAGTTACTCTATGGTTTATGCACATGGTAGATATTTTTATTATCAGTCTGTACTTTTGTTGATAAAGAACAATTTTTTTGTTCTGCAAATCTGTAATTTCGTTTTCTAGTATTTGAAGGTTTGAATTTGACTTGACGTGTTCTTATTTTAAATTTTGTGAATTTATTTATATATTTTATAACTTATTTATTTCACTTTTTTTTAACTTTGGTATACTTTATTGTGTATACGAGTATATTGTCATTATGGTTAAATCAAAATTAAGTGGAGCTGAAAATGGAAAACGAGCATTAGAACAAACTAAAACCATTGAAAAAGTTATAAAGTAAACTAAAAAAATAGATACTACAAAACTATATCAACTTGATTAAATGCATTATCTCTTTTAAACATAGACAATGAACTACTTCAAAGTTAGGATTATTTTAATACAATAACTCAAGGCTGGGCAAGTTAACTAATTATTTTAACTCGTTAAGTTAAGTTAATACAGAAAAATGTAAGT